TACTCTTGTTAAAACAATACCCCCTTGTGTGATGTATGCATGCAGTAACGTGAAAATGTCTCGTGTTTCCTCCTCGAATTGTCCGCACCACCGTTGCGCGTTTTCCCGTTAGTACAACGCACCACAATCACACGCGTACGAACAAGCCTATACATAATTCATTTTAATAATAATATATGATATGACACAACAAGTGCGTACACAATATTAATAATTATACACACTCAACGTGGCGTTAATATAAATAATATATTTCTCTATTCGCACCGCCTACGACAACTGATATTGTGTTATATGGAATACGTAGGGGTATTAACAAAAATAAAGTTCTGTTTTAAACATTAAAAAAAAAAAAATAATAAAAAATATTTTTAGAAACATGGTTAAAATTTAACAATTTTCTAAAATATCGAAAAACATTTTAATGGATCATACATATATGCATACAGTGTATGATAAATTATAATAAATTAGATTTATAATAATATGTTGCATCATAATTCAAATAAATCTAAAAAGTTTTGCATCAGAAAATAGTGCATATAGATTTAATTTTTAAAATCATTACATTTTAGAAATCTTTATAAATTTACCAAAACTTACACATCTAAAATTTAACAACGTTTATAATATTGTTATTTTGATGAGTAATATGGAAATGTATAATAAAATGTATATAATATCTGCATTGCGGTGTAAAATAATTGGGAATAGAAAGTTTATATACGAAACAAAGCAGTTAGAAACATATATAAACATTTAGTCCTAGAATTTCTACACAGCGTTAAAATTAAAATATTTCATTGTCTGTAAATTCACAAAACTAATTTAGTACCCATTACTATTTAGAATTACATATATAAAGTAAGTACTGTTATTAGTTTAATACTTGTAGTTATTAATTTTATGTTTGTGTCGTGAAAGAATAATTTTAAAATATAAATCAATATAATATTAATAGTATATATATACATTATTTTTTTAAATTTTAAACCAAAATATGATTTTAATAAAATGTTCCTAGCGTTACGAAAATGCTACAATACGAAACGTGTAATTACAAACTAGTGATTACCTAAAATACAATAACCATCTATTTTTAAAGTATTTTCAATCATTTTCTTTGGTCTGTTTTAATTCAGAGTTTTTATTTAAATGTACATATTTTTAAACATTTGTTGGACACATATTTATTTTTTCTACGATTTCTACGATATAGGAATATCATTGATAAAAATTAGAATTTAAATTCATGTGTAAAATTCAACTATTAAACAGCTAATAAGTAATAACAAAAACAAATTAATTTAATCGTTATTTCAACGCCTTATAATAACGATTAAAAACATAAATTATTTTATATTTGTGTAAAGTAAAATGATTTTATATACTTATATATGAGTTAACCCTACGGAACCCTCACAGAAAATAATGCTTTTATTAATATGAACTCAAATTCACAAGTGATTGATGACTGTGGTTCGTCATTCAAAGTTGTAGAATAATATACGTACAACAAATGTCACGCATCAGATCCTTAATATGACTAACTTTTATTCGATTTTTATTTAACACTTCACCCGTCCATCATTTATATTATATATAAATACACATTACGTAATGCATATTATGATTAAAACGTGTTTTTGTGACCTTGAACAAAAGTTCTCATTCAACATTTTTATATCTTGCACGATAATAAAATATTTCAAGGAAAACATATTTCTAATATTAAAAACGCATAGGTACTTGGAAAATATTTAAAAATATCTTTTAATTTCAAGTTTATTTGATAAACATTTTGAAAGAAAAGTATTCGTTTGTTTTTTATAATTTTGATTTTATTTTAAATAATAAATACCTACTAAAAACAAATTTCCAATTATACTTTTTTAAAAAATTTTAAAGGAATTTATCGATTTATATTGTTAAATTGTTAAAACTTAAACTTTATCCAATGATTTTAAGATATATTATATCATTATATTTTAAAAGTATTTAAATTCCATACACAATAATATCCGGTGTCATGTAAAATCACAAAATATGTTATAAATTTACAATATAAATATTTCGAATGTTGATGATAAAATAAAACAAAAAATTATATCAATTATTTAGCCAATTATCAATACACTTAAATTGTATTTTTTATAGCCAGTAATATTAATATTATAATTTGGATTAAGTATAATATTAATTTGTACATGAGATCAATGGCAGATCTAGGATTTTTTATGGTGGTTGCTATTTTGTTAATAATAATAGTCTTAAATTACTTGTTATGTACAATTTGTGCGTGGTCGCCGACCGGTGTTTGCTACTCCGCGGTGAGGGGCGCGTGTTCTGGTAGCCTGTACCAAAAATTTGCCACTCGGCGAATTAATAGTAATTTTTAATAAAAATACGCGGAACGGTGGGTGCTTCATCTTTCAAGCACCCCCTCCCCCTCTCTAAATCTACCACTGCATGAGATATTATGTAACGAAGATTTATTGTGCATTGATCTGACTAGAAACATAATTTTTTACCATATTATACTTTTAACGGCCATCCAGTCCTTTCGAATTACCAAGAAGCACAGTGTTATTCAGATTTAACGCAGATACGACATAGATTCAATTTTATCTTTATTACACTATGACGAGTTTGAGTTGAAATAATGACAGGACTTTGCAAAACAATATCGCAACTACTGGTAATAACCGCGGAATTGTATTATTATGCACTTGCGGTGGGCGTCATATTGTGAGAAACACCGATTATGGGTCGTAAACAGTATTTTGAATATAGTCATATAGTCGATCCCGATTATCAAGCTTAAACGTGTACGTATCAATACGATCGATAGTTGGAATTTGACAATATCATGTTTTAAACTTTCGGTAAAAGATATAATGTATATGGATTAAACGGTAAACGTATTTACCCTTAATGACACTTTTAAAAAGTTTATCCTAAAATTTCGAAAACTTCTTTTTATTTTGTTCAGTAGACTGTTTGATTCAATCTCGAGAGAGCTTAATAAGAGTTGAAAAATACATCTCAGTTGGAGTATTATATACAGTCATAATAATAGTACTTTTGACATTATTAAAATATATTTATATCAATTTAATACCCGTTGGACGTGTTTGAAGGAGATTTTCGCGCGATCTCGAGTGCAATCTTGGCCATTGGCAACGGTTTTAATTTAAAGTATTTTAAGATCACTCAACAGAGATGATAAAGTGTACATTTTTGATTTCTGAGGGGCGACTAATAAATGCTAAATTGACTGACAACAAAGATAGAAGGGATGCTGTAATCATCTCTGAGACTGTGCTATATAGATACCTCACGTAATTTATCTTTTTATTTTCGGTTGAGAATTATGAGTTGAAGTATTTAGATTTTTTTGTAAAGTTAATAGGTTAAAATCAATTATATTACTTTTTATTATAATAAAGTGCTAGATTTTATATAATATTATTAATCATTTTATATGTTTTTGAATTTTTGTAAAGAAATATGATTAATTTTATAATTAAAAAACAACCATGATCTACAATCTTATTAAAATACAAAACTTGTTTTTATTCAATATTACTGACTGTATTAGTTTATACATTTACAGTCAATAAAATAATATTTACAGATCTTCATTAGATTTTACATTATATTTAAAAAAAAAAAACTGATAGATACCTATTTAAAAACTCTAAATATGATATTTTATGCATTTTGATTTAGATAAACAAAATCATTCAAAGTACAAATGTGTTCTTTTTAATTCAGTCTAAGCAATGTTTTTGCACTAAAACATAACAATATTTTAATGTACATATATTCTAGTCTAAGACTTCGTATTATCATAACAATTTTCGGCATTAAGGTGATAGAAAAAATAATAATGTATAAACCGAATTTTGATGACATCAGAAATCAAATTTAACGGGGAATTCAGTCAATATAAAATAACATTAATAAATCATAATATACACTATAACATGATATGTCAGTCAATCAATAAAACATTCAGTTATATAAAAATAGCTTTCAAATATAATATGTGGTTATTTGATTTTTACTTGATTACTCTGATATTTAATATTATTTTTGGTACCCAATATAATATTTTTTATAAATAAAAATTAAAAACAATTATTTTTAAATTACATTGATGTTAAACGAAAAATGTAATTTATGCCTCGAGTAACATTAGTTATGTCTATGTATAAGAGACACAATTACCAAAACAAATATATTATACATTCTCATTTATCAGCTCTGTTCAAATTATTATTTATTATTAAAATTATATGAAGCAGTTAGTTTAACATTCACCATCATACTATCAAACTAAAATATATATTTATTAAGAGTTATCCTTTAAATACACAGTAATGTACCAATTTACTAAATAAAAACCACTTTAAAAAGTATTCCAATTCACAACTACAGAAAACTTCCATGATAAATAGGAATATTTTATAAATAATAGGAAGCTCCCTAATTATATTACATATGTTGCATAAATTCCTAGTGGAATTTGTACATAATTAAAAGTAAAAAGTTAGCAAATTAATTATGCATATTCAATGTTTTGAATATATTGTTTTAAATTACTTTTTAAACTGTTTTATACATATATTATGATACTAAAAATGTTTTATTTAATCAAATTAAGTATCCATTAACAATGTAAAACATAATATTGAAGTCATGCTCATAAAAAATTTGGTGACAATCACAAAATAAAATTGATGAATATTGATAAGTATTGATTTAAATTTCACTTGAAATCATAGCTGTATAAAATGTATCCATACATGCCTAAATACAATTTTATTGGAACTCATAAACTATAAATCATATGGATGTAATCCTTACGCGAAAACTTAAATCATTGATTATTTATAATATATTTGCCTTACACTGCCCGTTCACTGATTAAAACTAGATACTATTATAATACACAATTTAATAAGCGATATTGGTAAAAACAATGTGTTACTCACCTCTTCGTCATGGTCGAATGCATTGAACACGTCGTATGGTAGACAAGATAGCAGGTCGATAACAAACCACGACCGGAGGTAGTTCATTCGAATAACTTTCGGATCGGACACGACCTCGCCGCCGGGCCCGACGAACGTGGTATGGAAGTTGAGCACGATGTCGATGAAGAATATCACGTCGACAATGGAGTCGACCACCAACAGAGACACGTCCTCGCTGGTCTTGTTCTTGAACGCCACGTTGTACGGCACCATGATGGCCGTGTAGAACGTCAGGCATAGTATAACCCAGTCCCAGATCGCCTTGAACGCGCAGTAGTGCAGCAGGATGTGCGGCGGCGTCTTCGGCGCCTCTTGCCTGTACTGGGGCATTACGTCCGCGTTCAGGCTCATCATCTGCACAAGACCAAAGTATACACACACGCACGCACAGACACCCCGCAGGCTTTGTCAAGAGCCGCGTGTGTCCGGGAGGAGATGACCGCAGTATCAGAGTTTTTACCCCCTCCCCCTCCACAAAAGCACCCCGCAACACCAACCACGACAATAGTCAATTTACAAAAAAACAATCCCCTTCCGGTTTCCAATAACTGTATTGATACGCAGAAAACAATGAAGTATAACAAAATGTCATTGAATTTTATTATTATACTTACTAACAGTGCGAGATCACGGTTATTATATCATTAAAATTGTTTTATTTACCAATAATCAAATTTTGAGTTTTTAGGTGAAATACCAAAAGTTCGTAAACAAATATATTACGTTTCGTTAACAGACTTAAAGTACTACCTGGGGATACGCACTAATATAAATTCAGTTTTTTTTTTTTATTATTTATTTATTTCATTTGATTGTAAATATCATATTTAATATCAAAATTGATAAAATTTAATTCGAGTTCATCTTTGTTTAGTGTAGGTTGTAGTCTGTGGATAATGATGTTATAATGTTAACCATTTTACCTTTAAAAAACATATTTGGTTTTTTGTCTTTTTGGTTTTCAGTATATTTTATTCACCATTCTATAATAATGAGTTGGACTTAATTTGCTGTCATCAATAGAGATGAAACGAAAAATTCTTATTTTTTTTCTTTTACTTTGCTCGTTAAGCTTTTATATTTTTGTTAATCAGCTTGCTTTGATTCGTAACGGCGGTGTAATTTTTCCGAGTTACACATAACGTTTCAAATATATTGGTTTTCGACTTATTATTCGCAGCTACGTGAAGTTTCAAAAAGGTCATTCTTCAAAGGTTTTTCGTGATCGTCACGTTCACGTCATAAAAAAAAAAAAGTCTCGTGTGTGTTTAAATAATATAGAATGTGCTCTGTTGAAAGAAAGAGAGACAAAATCGAACACTGAATGGATAATAACGACCAATATAATTCGATCAGCAATAATGTTATATATTATTGTAGTTTTTTTTTTTGTTTTTTTGCGCACATAGAGATTTATGAGATTGAGTATATAATAATATCCTTAAAAGAAGAAAAAGCAAATTGATATCGAAGCGTCAAACTCAGCTGCAAATGAAACGTCTGCAATATATAACAATATATACGAATTTACATTTGTTGTGATAAAATACGATTGTGATTGTTCTTCATTTTTTTTTTTTTTTTTTTGGTTTAATTCATAAACACGACACTTGATTATTAAACTGTATTTTTGAGTAATGTGCAAATGTTTTTTAATGATTACGATTAAATTAATTGGATACTTTGAATACCGACAACATTTTTTTTCTATACAATATTTTAGTTATTTAATATTTTGATGGTCAAATCATGAATTTTTTTGTTCTCTATAATTTAATGTATCCCAATAATTATTCATATTAATCAATTAACTATTAAGAGGACGTAGTTAATGAATAAAATATTTTTTTATAAACTTTGATAAAATGAAAAAAAAAATGTATACATATTTTTGTTGAAAATTAATATGCATTTTTTTACTGACTGGTTGTCTTTGAGAATTGTTATTCATATACAATAATTTATAAGTGAGTTTAAATTTAGCACATCTATTACAGTGACCTATTCATTATTAAGTTACATGACATTCTCTATACATCAGAGCAATACGCTGATATATTTATAAATTTGTAAACTTAAACATATGTTGATGTTTTTTATTTTTTAAAAGCTAAAATAAGTAAAACTTTTTTAAGGCTTTTTTTTTAGAGCACATACCTAAGCTTCATAATTTTTGACTTAAAATACGAAACCCAGTTATAATATAATATTATTATTATTATACTAGAATGAGGTAATTGCACAGAAATACGCGAAATCGATATCATTATAATAGGAAGGTAATATTATTATAATTTATAACGTATTTACGTTATTCGGTAGGCAACTAACTCACGTAATATTTCTTAATTAATAAGCTGTAGCGTGTTATATGTTAAAGGTAACGTAAAATCGATAGGCAAATTGTGGTATTGGACCTGATAAAACTAAAGAAAACCGGACATTTATTCTATAAATTTTCGTTTTGAAAAACATTTTGATTCGTTAAAATGTCCATTATTTCGAGAAATGTAATTTTTAATATTTTAAACTATTTGATTAGCGATTAAATTAAAAACAAATAAATAAATTGAGTAAAAGAATACCTGTTTTAGGTTTATTTTAATTTAAGTTAAAAAAAAATATATTGAAATATTTGGTTTAGTTAAAATAATACACTAAAATGTCTAAATTTTTTAATTAATCAAAATCCGTTTTAAAAATCGAAACCTCGTTGTAAACAGTTTCTATCAAACTTGTCAAACCAGCATCAGTTTTAATTATTTCAAGCGTCTCAAAAACAGAGATCGACATATTATATGATTTAATACGTAATACCATGTGCTATCACGAGGGAAAGTGTATTGTCATGTGCCACCGATAAACCATTAAATCAACCTGATGGAGATTGGTCTTCCAGGTCTTCCTCTTTCTCACATACGCAGAATAATGTTGATTTTGTCACTTGTTAAAATTTTGTAAAATAAAGTTTGATTGATCACCTTTCTTTATGAGTGGACAGTAGTCGGCCAATTAGGCAAGTGCATATCTAAATATTTTATCGAAGTAAACTATTTTCAATGAACTTTCAATAAATGAAAATCTGTTTTAAAAATTAAAGTGTGTTACCAAAAATTAATTTACAGTTTTGTCAATCATTGAAGTCTAAACATGGCTTCATTGTTTGATTACTATAAAGATGTCTTAAAAAAAAAAAAAAAAAAACATGGTTTGGTTCTCTTAACGTAGCACTATTCCCTCAAAACATTTTAATGAGATTGAACTGAGTTTTATTAATTATGAAAAATGTATTATATAACGAGTAGTATCAATGACATTTTTATAAAACTTGATAAAACGACACAATACTTTAACTATCGATGCAACGTACAGTTTGAGTAATGAAAAGGGATATGCTAATTCCAACATGTGCAGTTTATAACTTTTTAATTTAACCATTTAAAAACATGCTAAATCCGATAATTTTAATTGTTAATTTTACTCATATTTTTGTTCTATACAGTTGATTAAGATTTTACATTAATTTCAAAGTAGAAAATGAAAATTGTAGTTTCCACTTCAAATGTTTTACAAAATAATCTAAAAAGGTATTTCTATAAAGTTTAAATGTACACGTGTAAGAATTGTTAATTTATATATTCTTAAAATAATTTTATTTTTATTTCTATCATTATTTTTGTATTCTACTTTTAGACTGAGTTTTCCAAAAATGCGCCGTAGTAATGCTATTGGTATAATTGAAAGTATAACTTCAAACTGACTTAATAGAAACAGATTCAAATAATATTTTAATCTTACTAGATTCCAAGTAGAATAATTGTTATATTTTAAATTATAAACCAACCAATATATTACTATGTATCTTTTGTTTTGATAGTCAGTTAGTTACGAAAATAACTATTTTCAATCAATAATAAATATTAAATGTACTAATATAATTAATTGCAAAATCAACGTAACATTTAGAAGAAAAAAAATTCAAAACAGCTTATGAATGTCCATCCCCCATAAAATAATATAGTATACCAATCGGGACTTTCGATTACTATAATTCAGAAATCCATACTGTGCTATACCTAATACTTGATGATCTAATTTTCAAATAAACAAAAATCAAATACAACGAAATTAATTACTGATTTTTAAAAACAACTGGAACTATACGACTTTGTTGGATATAGCACGACACCATTCGGGGAGACTTATCGCATTTTCTTTGTGCAGCGTTTTCTACAGTACTATATACGGTCAATCGCCTTTCTCCGTGTCCGGATATAAAAGCCGTTTCTGCTGGTCACGGTGCGGGGATTCAACAATAGACGATGTGATAATTAATGATCATCGAGTGTGAACACCTCTCTGCTATACATTTATTCGATACACACCAAATAGCAATAATGATCACAACAAGACGTTTATCGGGTTCCTGCGTGAAAAAAATAAGTGGCACAATCCACCGCCACAGCAGGGAAATTCCAAATGAACAGGTCTGGAAAATCGTGGTTGTGACGTTGACTTTCGTTGATATATAGTACGTTGATTGGCCATGTAGTTTAACGATAATTACCTCATAATATAATATTATAAGGATTATTATAGACAACCGTCATAGTACATTGTGTTTAAAAACAACTATATAGTAGATCAGTATGGAAAATATAAATATCCGTAGTGTTTTATATCCTTCAATTATAAAATAAGTTGCGTGTTCAAATCATGTTGTCATTCAGTTGAGGGAAGATATGTCGCTGAATTTTGTGGAAGAGTTTTAATAGTCATTACAATATTACGTTCTACAACTTATCAAACTCTAGGGAAATCAATGAAAAAAAAATATTTGACATTTATATAATTCAAATCAACAATTAACTTTTAATTATTAGACATCATTTTATTTCGGAAACAAAATATAATCTGTAGTAAATTTCATATTATAATTATATCATAATATATTGTCATGAACATTTATTTAGTTTGAATCATATAATATAATCCAATAATAATCTTCAATCAATGTCTCAGCGAAATATTATTTTAATTAAATGTAAACGAGATGATTGAGGATGAGTGTAAGAAAATATTTAATGTCCCATTAAAATTTAAAAAAAAATCATTGATTTAATTGATTAGTCGATACATAAAACGAGAAAAACTTTAAGACTTTAGGTATTTGGCGTCTTAAACCTATATAATTATTGATGTATACAAAGTCGAATCTTTAGTGATAGATTTTGAAATTATATTGTTGTATAAAAGCAGTCACTTTCGGGGGTAATTTAAAATAAATTAATAAGTTTTTGTGTCATTATTAATACAACAGAGTAAAAAAAAAGTTATCTTTAGATTTATAATTAGACAAGTTAATTTTGAATTATATAAAACGCCGATAACAATAATTAACTGTATTTTATAAGGTACAAAAATGTTTCTTTTGCAAAACGAGAATGAAAAGAAAAACATCATGATTTTTAATTTCCTATTTAAAGAGTCTTTTGTTTTACCTTGGCAATAATTATCTTTAAATTCTATAGCTTAAATATAGTTTTTTTGTTTCTAAACGGACGATCAAATTTCAAAGCATTACGCCAAAATTATAAGATTTTATGATTTATGAGTTTTTTGCTAAGTTGACAACAGTTATTATTTATAATCGCGTCCAGCTCACTAAACACACAATTTCAACATTTTAATAATAATATAACATTGCTATTAACTTTTCTCGTTTCTCTAAATTGTTATTGTTTTAGAAAGCTTATCTCTGTCGGAGTTGACATTGTATTGTTATTCAAAAATAAATAAACTACAACTAACATTGGTATAACAAAAAGTTGCATTGTTGATATTTGATGAAATTCTTACGGTTTTCTTTGTTTTATATATTTATGTATAATATAATGCTAAACAAAATGTAATATCAAAACCTGTCACGTTATTAATAAAGTTTTTTGTGTTAGCTTTTGTTATAACTATTACCTATTATTATTTTTTTAAATAAAATATTAATTTAATTGAAATAATAATGAAATATTAAATAAGATATTTTGATTTAACGTGACTAGAAGATAAAAACACAATAATTCGATATTTGTTACAAAAATCGTTTTCGTCACGTTGTTTCATATTATAAGCATTCTTCTTGTATAATACAGTATACTTTACAGTAGATTAATTTATGTGATACTTAATATAAATATCAGTGGTGCAAACGAACAGGGATTTTTTAAAACATTTAACATTTTATGACTATAAACATGTGTGTCTCTTTTACAATATTTTACGAATAAAATCCCAGTAAGTTGAAATACATTTGGAGAATGAGATGTTTAGATATAGGATAGATAGAGAAATCTGATAAATTTAAGTTACTATTATAATGTAATCATTTTTGTTTAGATTTATATTTAAACTAGAGGTATGTATTCAATATATATATACATTTTTTTTAAATAATTAAGTTTAAAAACTCAAGTTATTGTACAGTTAGACAATCGAATTTGTAATTTGATTTTGTTATACTCTAAGTAAAACATGTTGCATATATTCGTATAATATTACACATGCGATAGTCTTGATGAAAAGTACCTATGCGGATCATATAGCAGTCGTCTCCTCCACCGTGCGTTGTGTTTACCCTACCAACTTTCCCCATCCAACACTCAACGACAGGTCGTTTGAATATGGACTACATTGCGCATATACATAAATACACATGTAATAAGTCTTAATATCAGTGGCATAGATATAAGAAGATAGTAAGAGCAAGGCTGTATCCAGAAATTTTTTTCGAAGGGAGTCCAAAATCTGAATAATGTATATTTACTGAATTTAGATTTTGAAATTTCGCTAAAAATAAAGTATACAATTAAAGCAATGTTAAAAAATTAATATAGTAGTACATATAATATATCAAATAATATATCGTACATTTGGGAATTTAAAGACAAAATTAAACAATACATTTTTGTTATTTTGTCTACTCATTATAACGAATTTCATGAAACGATTCAACGAGTTTGTCACTGTCTGGCGGACGACGGTATATAATAATAATAAAAATTTTTATTTACACAAATATAATATTGTTTTTATAGATCGTCATCGACCGTTAAGATATTAAACAGCATAGATAATTGCCGTTAATGATCAAAAATATTCTATTATTATACGCTATAATAATATTTTCAAATAGTATGATAAAAAAAAAAAAAAAAACAGTCAATAGTTAATTTAATAAATTGTAATTTTAACTATTTAAGTTGGTATTAAAAATAAATAATAATTTTGTACATTTTTAAATTATTCAAGAAATTTCGAGAAAGGGTTTTTGGACTCCTCGAACTCACCCTCCGATACGATCTTGAGTAAGAGGGGGAAGTAGCGGAAGTAGATACGTATAAAGTATAAACGTTAAAATAAAAACACACCTTATTACATAACCATGCCACTGATTTAAACATGTAAATCAGGGACTGGTAACTTATGATTTTTTTGGTTTCAGTACCTAAATATTTAATTAAATGGTTCTGATTCTTATTCTGATTTTAAATTATATAAATTAAAGATTCTAGTTATTTGAAAATTTTTTCATTTTGGTACTGGTTCTCAATTGTTTTTATATCCAGTCCCTGAATTAAAAATATATCAACGTGCGACAACGTTGATGATTGTACATGAATAGGTAATGATAAAGATAAAATAAATGGTTAAATTTCGTAATACTCACGTGCGCTAAATGGGACTGGACATGTCTGGTGGAGTCCTTGATGGAAACGGGGTGCGACGAGAACTGCGACACCAGTGTCTTGCTCCTGGTCACGGATCGGGCCAGCTTGGCAAACTTGCTCAGGCCTGCTAACAGATCTCCTGGTGTTGGGCAAGGCAATGGAAAAACGAAAACAAACGGAAAAAACACACTCAACATGCACGTCGACAATTTAAAAATATAAACAAAGGACAAACGTAAACAAAAAAACCATAAGCAAGACATTAATAACAAATAATACAAGTAGTAATAATAATGATATGACATGAGTACCTATAATAATGATATAACATATAACTAAACCGGTTTTAATAACCGTAATAATAATAATCATTATCAATGATTAGTCGATAATTTTTTATTTAAAAACACAGAATCTCGCTTAGTAGTTCTACAATCACCTTAAAGTTTGACGGGCTGCATAGCATTTGCGTCATCAAAATTAATAAACTATCTAGGTTGTAAATTTAAAAACACATAATATAAACTATACAGTATACACCATACTAACATACTACCTATTCATTTTTTACGACAATAATGTATTTAAGTTATTATGATTATATTTTGTGTGTGCTTTTTGTGAAAATATTACTATAGGGAGCACAAATTTTTATAACTATTATTTTCTTTTTAAATACATAATATATTGAGATACAAAAAATACCTAACCTAGCTAGGTATGAATATCGATAGATATGGAGACCCAACTAGGTATGTTAAACACTGAGACGCAAACTATTTATAATCTTTTCTAAACCTGATATATTCAACTTGCTACAATATCGGGTACAAATAGTATGAACAATTTGAAGATAATTTAGGAATATATTTGATTTTCGATTTTAAAATCATTATTGTTATTGTTGCTACCTGGGAATTCCAATGATCCTATTTACACTATATTATTTACAATAACATAATACGTGATGGTTTGCAAATATATTGTCTCGGGTAGAAAATATGTGTTCATACAGTTTACTATTTAAATGCACGTTATTTTATTTTAACTTTGATAATCGGTTGATTTTTTAATCAAATAATCGATTCTACCTATTTTGAACGCCAAAAAAATAACATTGTAACTTGCAAGGGGTATTATATAATTATCAGACAACATCGATGTTTATTACGTGTGTAGAATTTAAATATAGGACATATATATATATCTAAATATAAAATAACTTTATGTGGAAAAAATAGTATCTATGATATGTGAGTAAATTTTGTATTTGGTTTTCGTTTTTGTTTATATGGATAATCGTGGTGAATCACCCGAAATGGATTTTCGGCCGGAAAACACCTTCCACACAATTGTTAGCTTCGACACGGCGTCTAACATTTTTACGCTCTGTTTCGAAATCGATATTTCAATTTAATATATAGAAAGTCACTTTTTTTTTTAATTTTAATCTTTTTGTATCTAACAAGAAACGAACATTTCAAAATATTCTGACACCTGTCCCGAAACAACTGTATAACTATACTTAAATAATATTTGTGTATCGATTTTACACAACTACGGTAGATTTCAGAAGTGGATCTAATAGCAATGGTTAAATTTAAAACTATTTATTAATATTAAATAGTTGTTTTCCTGATTTCAATGAAAGTATTAAGCGTTGAAATAAAAAAAAAAAAAATGATAATTATAGAAATGTAAAAAACAAAACAAAAAAAAAACTGTCAAATGATAACACAAGAGAATATTTATATTTTTAATTTTGACGGACAATATACTAATCTATTTAGACAGATTATAATCGTCAATATAGAAAGAAATACGAGAAAGTTTCTAATCAACTTTTTGTTTTTAAACTTTCTATAATTGTTGAACATTTAAACGGACTTAACCGCATCGTAGCAAAGCCGTTTTAACATCAAATCATAGACAAATTACGTTTATTGGCGATCGATGTCGAGCGTACGTGAGCTTACGATATTCCGGGTCGTATCGAATCATAAGTTCAGACACACACGTATGCGCACGCACACGCGAATGTGTATTACCATAAAGGTTTCGAATTTTCGATGAAAAGTGTATACGTAGACGTCGTAGACCAATGTCATCGGTTTTTCGCTTGCTTCGCAATATAAGTTACGACAACACATCATCGAGTTTATATATAAATGGTTGCAGTATACGTGCACACAATAACCGCCAATAATATGGGCAAAACGACGTAGAAACTGTTCAATAGGCGCGTATAGCAATATATACGCGGCGCGAACGACTACGTGCCAAACATATATGGTCGCAGTGACGAGTTACAACAAAATTCACAGCTGCGCCTACAGAGTGTATTCCAGTTTCCACATAAAATTTTAAAATCATCTCGTTTAATTCAGTGGAATCATAAGACTTTCTAAATTACGAAAATCGTTTTTCCTTGATACCCATATTTTACGCTACATTTGAGATTTTCACGTTCTACTACGTCCATCGCAACATTTAAATGGCAATAAATATGAGTACTTACCTATTAATATTATTAAAGCTTTAATGATAGTGGTTAAAAGTAGCCGTCTCATACAAAAAACGAGCAGTATAATTAGTCAGTGAAGAATTAATATATCGTGACTATAGCGAGTCAAAAAAGCCAATTATTCGGGAGATACATAAATATAAATAGGTAAAACATATCGTTTCAAAATTCCAAGTCGAAATTACTGATATTAATTGCGTGAAGTTTCTATTAAAACATGGATAACTTATTTATGTATTACTCAATAGTATAGCGATGCTTGATATTCCCGCCATGGAATTATTTTTAAGTTTATATCAACTTCGGAAATAATAGACTATAAGTTTTTTTTTTTTTTTTTTAATGTTGAAGTCTAAAAATATAAATTTCAAAATCTTTGAATTTTTTTGGAGACGCGTTGTTTTTAATAAGTAATTTATGTACATACACACACACACACACACTTACACACCCAATAATAATATTCTCTGGGATGAGTTGTCATAGTATGTGAGCGAAGTTAATTTATAGCCCATATGAAAATATGCCGTATCACAGAAACAACACGGACTATGGGAGTAACACTCGATCTTATTAACAAATACACATATTGTCATCGATTAGATATGTCACTTACAATATTATTAATATATTTTATTACCAAATTCATCTTATTATGTTTAATTTGGTTTAAAAAGACATTTATTTTTTTAATTTATTTATTTGAAGAATTTTTTTGAATTTAAAAAAATAAATGTATACCATATTTAAACATTTAAAAAATAAGATTTTGATAAGTTTACGTCAAAGTTTGTCTTTAATAACTAAAAAGACAAGACAGGAAAACTATTTTTATGATCCATATTATCGACCACAATACCTCGTAATCATATTTTTGATAAGTTGCGTTTAAATGAAAAAAAAAGTTTTTTTTGATATGAATCAAGATGTTTCGAATTCTCTGAAAACATTTTTATTGAATTTTTTCAACGGGGTTTTAATAAACATTAAAAAAAAAAATATTAGGAGTATATTGTACGTGTACTGTGCATTCAGTTAAAAATCAAGTATTCAAAAAACGCAAATTTAATACTAGTTTCAATTACAGTTTCATAAGGTCAGTTATGACGTCTACAAGAAAACCTTAAAACGCCTTATGTAACGATCAATCAACAAAATAACAGTCGGTTAGGTTTCGGTGATATTTTCAAGTGAAAAAGAAAGAATGATTCCGACATTACAATTTTTAATTATACGTATAATATTGTTATTATTGTTGTTTCACATTACTCTAAGGTTAATATTTATTTCATATTTTTAAACAATATCGATTTTTTATTGTATATTTCTCATATATTAATATCTAGTTAATAAAATAATAATATAATAAAATATTTTATGATTTGTTTTTTTTAAATTAAACAACGTATTTTTTCGATTAAATCGTGATTAAGATTAATTATGCGTTCACCCGAGTAGGAAATTAATAAAATAGAGTAGGTCAACGTGTTATATTGTTATTAGTGAACTATATAATTATGTAATATATAAACGAATAACAAAAAAAAAAAAAATGTAACTTGTAAGATCATTCCATGGATAACGATTTCTAATTAAATGTCGGTCTAACACTTTAACCCAATTTTAATAGTATAATATATATGTTATCGTCGACTGAAAAATCTAGTAAGCAAAAGTCAATAACGTATCATCCCATAATAATATACTATTGTATTTATTTTTAATAAAATATTTTATTAAGGTATTTTATTAAGCATCATAAAGCTTTTTCAACGTAAAAAATCCGAAAACAAAAGATCACAATGGGTTGTTTTCTAATACTAATATAACATTTATATAGGTTTTAAATATTGTGTATACCGTCGTTATGCTGATACTATTTTAATTATTATCGTAATAAAATTGTTGTCCAACTCGACGTTTGCGCAAATAATATTACGGGCATTTATGATTATAATAAACATAGACGTCCAAAAGGCGTTCATCCCAATAACTCGACAGGACGAACACCTATAAGTCCGCTCGATAACGTAGTGCGCACTGAACATTACGATTTTTTCATTGTTTTCGTGGTAAATCCATTTCAGTATTTTAACCCAATACGACAACGGCATGCTTGGCACATAAACTCGAAAACGCCATAAAACAAAACATGCATTGTTTTTTTTAGTTCCTGCAGGTTATTTTTTGTCGACCTCTCTGCGGCGTTATGTCAGAGACCCGTCACACTGCAGATGCGCTCATTTGTCCGGTCCTAACGTACTTAGTAAAGTACGACGACAATTTTTATGTATAATAATGCTCACGAATTAAAATCGACCGTGTACGCCGAACGACAATAAACGCAAAAATGAAAATTAACCGATTATGCAGGTAAACACTGCAACACTGCGAGTGACGGCCGACGGGAATAGAGATCTAAACGACCCAACCCAGTGGAGCGAATCGGGTGAGCGTCAAAAACACAAAACACGAAAAGGGTCGCGGATTCAACCATTGTTTACAACGAGCTGTAACAACAACGAAGATGATGACATTAATGACATTGTAATATTATATTATGATAATAGCGGCACGTGCAAAGTGATCGTGACATGCGTATACGAGAGCATGACGGCGGATAACCGAAAAGGGGACGATCGTACGCCATGAAATTAAAGCCGTGAGCGTCTTAATCCTTAATCGAAAAATATTACATGCTTACTGCGCGTATTATAAAAATTGAGTTATTATTATGTTTACACTCTGAAAAAATACGAGCGCCACTCTAGGAATACGTCATTTAGACATAGAGATGTCGAACTCAAGATTTTGAACGGAGGATGATGAAATGACGACAAGAATACGAAATGGATGGTGCGCAAAGAGATGTAATAGTACATATTTTTTGACACTTGATACACATTATCGTATTATCTTATAGAAGAAAAGATAAAATAAAAATGTTTTTTATTATTAAAACACTCGATTTCATAATTTTTTTTTTCTTTAGTTATCTTTGGTAAATGAACTACGAGTAACGACAAATGTACAGTGATCATTTTTTGTTGCTAGAAAAAAAGTGATTTTGATCATACATTATTATCACATCCTTCGGTGCAACAACAACAATAATATTATAAATTTATACTTATAAAATTACTAGTCAAACGATTGCCATTTATAGCGACGATGACAGATTTTAGAGATGGTGGAATTGTGGAAATAAAAATGATTAAAGTATAGTGATTTATCGATAAAAATTGCAGTAAAATCACTGTCGCGTTCGGTATGATTAATTATAAATAGATATCGTTCAGGGTACTCAATTTTTTTTAATAAAAATATAATAAGTATTTGAACAGTTATCTATAAAACCATATTATGGATCCACCCTTTCTCTAGTAACAAAAAATTGTTTTCAGCATTTTATAAAGGATACCAACTAAATTAATAAAACATATTTTCTGTACTTATTCATATTTTAGTCATTAACTTATTTTAAAGTTCCAATGTATCAATTACTTTGATTTATTATATTATTATTTACTTATGTTATATATTTACTTTTATGCAGTATAATATATAATACAATCATACCTACCAATTAAACTATAATTTATTTCAATTTAATAAATAACTATTGGGATTTTAATATAAGTTGATTTATTTCTCAAAGAAATATAAAAAATTTAAAAGTATATAACAAAATGAACAATTTATCATTTCTACTGTTTTATAGTATACCTAAGGATTAAAAGGAATTACAAGAAATTAATAAATTATATGGGACGTTTTAAAACGCCGGACATTTTATTGTTTTTTTTTTTTTTTTTAATTATTGCAAGAAAACCTGCAGGACTCTAAAAAAAAAAAAAGGAGGACTGCTGTATTATAAAGGATATTTACGAACCAAATTATAATTATTGTATGCAAATGCAAATTATTCTAGACCTACAATAATTTTAATTAAATATAATCTTATATTATTATTTTTTTCTCATATATTGCACACTTTAGTAAACATTAATATACTTATTATATTTAAAAATAATTTTGTAGGTACTAGGTAAACATCAAATAAACATTCTAAAAACAATAAATTCAATTTTGCTAAATTTGATTATATTTGTTCTTATAACAGACTATTATTTTGAATTTAAGATTATTTAACATTTCGCTGAATAAATGTATTGTTTTCTAAAATTTCAATATAATCCTAAATTTATGATTCAATATAAATATAATGTTAATACCTTACGAGTTGATTAGAAACTTTATATCGTATTTCCATATATATTTTTGAAAACGTAAATTGTTAATTATGTGTATATTCTACAGTATTTTTTACATCAACACTGGGACCTATACAGTTATCACCATGTATATAAACGGTGATAAAAAGCAAATAAAAAAAATCTAATAATATTATTATTAGTCTGTTTTTTGTGGCCTAGATGCAATTACTCAGTTTATAGAATGTATAAAGCATAATATTATAGTAAATATAGGCAGGCAAATAGATAAATAAATAGGTATGTAGGTAGGTAGGTATAATTGTACTGATATGCGTAAAGAGAATATGTGATTATAGCCGAAAGAAATTCAAATGTAATTAGCTCACCATGTAACTGAGTTTTAATCTAATCTACCTATTTTTTTTTTCTTTTTAACAAATGTGATGGATAAAAGGCCCAATTCATATTAGTATATTTATAGTTTTATGTTAAACAACATATTATTCGAAATACGTATATGATACGAACAAAAGTTATCAAAGTTATCACATGACGAGCTAATAAAAAAATGCATGTTCTTTCTGTTGAACTTTGTATATGCTGAACGCACTTTGTGTGTATTAAAATAAACCAACGCATAGTCTGTTAGGTGTATAATTTACGACATATGACACTATTTTAACATAATATATTAATATGTGATGTACAACAATTGTCCATGCAACTCAAACACACATAAAACATAACATTATAACATAAAATTGCACAAATCAATAATATTGTAATATTATTGCCGTATTGAAGATAAATTCACCGAAAACAGTCAATATTATAATAAGTTATAATTACTCTACGGCCTACGCAACACACAATGTAGTTGTATTTTATATGCATATGTAGAGTAACAATAATTAAAATGACAGTAATGATAAAAAACAATAAATAAAAAAATAAAATAAAAAATAAATAAATACAATTGCCGTAGATATCCGTTTGATTCGTTGAAATCAAACTTCTGTTTGACTAAAACGAACCACACGGCTCTGTCATAATGGGGTGAGGGTGAATGTGATGAGATGAACACTATACGTTAGAATTGTATATTATTATTTGGTGTGGTTTGTACTGATCGGTGTTCGGATGTCAGAGAGGCGCTGTTGAAATATGCTATTCGATAAACCGTTTGGCGTGAACACGGTCCCGACGGCAGCGTTCGCTAGTGTATAATTAATTTAGGACGCGAAAACGGAGTAAGCGAGCGAATGATGAGCAAAATGTGTTGCTGCAGTCAGATGGAAATATGACGTCTACGGTGTAGTTTCATAGGCGCAAATAGTGTTTAGGACTTGAATGGAGGGGGGGGGGGGGAGCTGAATCAACCGAATTTTGATGAGGCTTTTCTGGAATCACAAAACCTCTAAAAATTATTCTCGTTACGCTCTTATGAGTATTAAACATAATAAATATTCAACTATAATAATTATAATAATAACGTGAATGTATGTAATTTTTGTGTTATCTATGATATGATAACAATATAAAATGAATATATTTAGTCTTTAATGTAGAAATGAAAGTATGTATTTTACTATGTTCTAATATGGTGTAAAAACCCTCAATTTTTCTTCTTTTTTTTTTTTAGAAGACGATTGGTTATAAATTATATATATATATATTATATATAGGTTAGGTAAGCTTATCCCCATAGTTTTTTCACTATTTGCGCCTACCTGTACGACCCTAGAGTATATCTTTGCATAAGAACGTCTCGCTCGAAATAATCAAGCTATAATATCCACGCGTGGTATCATTGGTATCAATTGATGTACGAATCGTTTTATTATTTTCATGTAATATTGTTAGACCTATTGGGGGTAACGTGTTATTTTTTAAAAAGCAAGCGACCGGTTGTACGATAAATGGTATGCGCGGGATTGTTTTTAACAATTATTCGTATAGTGAAATAGTTTTCTACTCCTGAACTGACAACTTCACACCGTCCCCCGGAGCTTTATCCGAATTATTCGGTTCCACTGTCGTCATTTTGATTTTTTATTATTATTTATTTTCGATCTTAAGTAAACTTGCCGTCGCCGAGCCTCGACGCAAAATCAATTTTATTGATAATTTAATTCCGACCGGTTGAATGAAGGACTAACGGTCCACGCGTAGCGCGTCGATTGTCTTTCGAACGAAATTTCACTATATTGTTATGTACATTCGTCGATACGTACACACTAACACACACGCGCGCTTAAAAATAGAGACAAATGTTTGTATATTTCCCGACCGCGTGTTGTGTTAACGTGTAATATTGTATAAATGATGTTATAATATTATGGTGATATAAGTGGTATGTGGGCTTGTGTATGCGTGCGTGTGTGTGTGTCTGTGTGCACGAGTAATTATGTTGTTCGAACAAAATTTATTTTTCAAAACTTACCGCCTTTGGAGTCCTCCGACTCGATGGGTTGTTTCAGCGCCGTGATGTCCCTGAACGTGAGCAAGAACAACACGACGAGATCCCTCTCGTTCTTGATCGGAGCTATTTGCATCAGCAGCCATAACGGTGTCTCTAACAAATATCATTTAAAAACGGTTATATGTGATCGCAGGCAAGACATGGTTATCATGCCGTTCGATGTGGCCAAAAGCGTGTTCGCCGTCTCCCACGACAACAATATCGTAATATCATAATCTATCTATTATGATATTATCGAATCGTCGACACTCTATTCTTGAGATATTATTGTCTAGTTTGGTATATGATTAAAATCAATTGAAATTATTAAAACTCTATCGGAAACGACAAATACTTTTGACCACGTCGACGAACATTTTTGTTCTTTATGCAACATGTTTTTGCAGATACTCGTATTTTAACAAGTATTTTCAACTGGAAAAAACTACCAACGAAAAAAAAAATGTCGGATACTGTGCATCCGACCGACATAAATTTAAGTGTCTACTTTTTGGCAAAGATAATTATTATATTGGTTATTTCAACTTATATCTAATTATACCCAGCCTAAATTAGGCCGTCTGAAGGCTGTTTCATATAACGGCCAATCGTTACGCGTTCAATAATATTTATAACAATATAACAACATTACACGCGTGTCCTAAAAATCTCCGCAAATTTGTCATATTGTCAAAATCGTATTCATCATGACATTAGTATTATCGTAAATTCGTAAGTATGATTTTCACTTTTCAACAAGTCGTCATATTATATATTAATATAAATAACATGCTATGATCACATACCACAGTTGTATCTGATGATTTGACTCATGAACACGTAGAAACTGATCGAAATCGTTTTCGAATCTCGACAGGAAGACCCGTTTATCCGGTTAGGTCATAATCTCTGACAAATTCACGGAAATTTTTCAGACGACTTTCAGGCTAGGATCACACTATGCGTTTTGTCGGCAACCGAAAAATACTATCCCGATTAACCGCAATCGGGACGATCGATCATACTGTGCGTTTTATCGGTAACCGAATACATACAAATGAGATTAAAAAGCCCGAAAATCGTTTTTAATTTAAATTTAAATTTTAAACTGATTTTTTATTTAAACGAAATGTATCTAGTATTATAAGTAAAAAAATAATAAAAAGGTTGTGTAATTAGAATTATTTGTTTTTATTTAAAACGTGTATCAACTAATTATGCTAATAAATAATAATATACATCTATAATATAAATAAAATATAATATATATATATATATATGTATATTACAAATATATTTTAAGTTTTTTAATTATTTAAATTTAAAAATGATTATTAATTATTCATAAAATTTTCAATTTCGGTTACCGATAATCCGCACAAATGTGATCGGACAAATTGCATTGCATGTGTTGTGCTTTACATCCCGAAACGCAACCGGACGGTTGGGCCGCAACACGTTGCGGTCGCTTCCCGACGGTTTTTAATCGGTTCCGTAAATCGGTCTAGTCTGGCCCTGATAACGCGTTTTATATTTAAACCTATTTTATTTTAGAGTGTTGCGGTTTGGCTCCGGTTGATCGGGAACCGACAAAACGCATAGTGTGATCCTAGCCTCATGTAATGATAATTATACATACGTATAAGCGTTTCTAATATAATATATTATGTTACGCCATACACTTGTACTTATATATAACTGTCGAGGTGTAAGAAGCGGTTTAAAAGCTCTATATATTTATATATAGTAAGTATTCTGTTTCGTATAATATAATATAATAATAACAATAATGGAATAACTACGGTCTTCACGTGAGAAATAATTCACTCACCAAGCGATAATTTATAACAGTGATGATTTTTATAATTATAACAATAATAACATCAATAATAATAATAACGAGTATAATAATATCGAAATAATAAGATAAGATATATCCTCAAGCTATTATTAAATTATAACATTATTATTGTTGTTATTCGTACGTCTGACCATTGGGAGCGACAAACGGAATAAATAAAAGCGGATAGTAGTTAAATTTTCTAAAAATATAACGAAAAAAAAAATTTGGAATAATAGTAATATAAATAATAATAATAATATGCAATGTACATTTTAAGATATACAGAGCAATGAAACAAGCATGCTTATCCCATATTATATTTTATTTATAATAATTTCTTTTACATTTCTGACATATAATTTAATTATACTAGAAAATCATATTTTTAAATAATTCGAATTTTTATATTACTTATTTAATTTTCAATGGCGTTCAATTATTTTTTTTCAAATGTAAATAATCCGTTCATAAATCGTTAAACACATAACTTTTCGAAAATCTTGACGCATTTTAATTGAAATTCGAATGAGTAGTTTCTGAGTTATTAAACTTTATGTACCTATTAAAATATAACAGTCCTTAATAATGGTTTTACATGAAATATAAGATTTATTACGTAGAATGTATTCTTGTACTTAATACACTTGGATAATTTCAACTAATTTTAGTAAATATAAAATTAATATTAATTAAGTACCATAGTCCACAGTTCTAAAATCCTAATGGTCCTTATTCCTTAAATCTTCTTAGCCTATAATCATAGTTATAAGTTATAACCTATCTTTATACATAAAGTTTAATAACTAAAAAACTAATCTTCTATATTTTCATTAAAAAAAAAACGCATCTTCTCAACAGTTTTCAGTATAAAAAACGGTAGTTATCATTTAAAATAAAATAAGTTTGTAACGCCATAGATCACTCTATAAATTGCATTAAATATGTAAGTATTTTAAAAGATAATCTTTAAGTGAAATTCAAGATTCAAAAAGATCAACGTTTGAATAAATTAATTATTATAGGAAAAACTGGGGCACACATGCCTGGTAAATCACACTGTATACATATTTATAGTTAAATATCCACCTAATCAAAATAATAATACGTGATTTTCGACCTTAGGCTACTTATAGCTTTTCGAATATATATACGGACCTACGTTTAATAGTTATATAATATACAATAATTATCTGTACAATTGCGTTGTTCGATCGCATTGTACGTTGTCATTACATTTGTCGGCGTGCTTGGCTTTACAGGTACGCATGAACGTTAAAAATAATAAAAATAATAATAATAATAAATAAAAAAACAATAATAATAATATAATAATATAATGACAATATAATATATAACCCATAACAATAACATAAATTATATAGACACAGTGTAATTATTTTTACAGATAGAACTAAATATAATTTTACCAGATTCCCAAACTAGATTAGGTTAGTAATTATTATTATTTATTATTAAAGTATTAAATCAGGTGTAAATGTATTGTGAAGCTAATAAGGCGTAATACATATTTTTTATAGGTACATGAAAAATGATTACAATTTTAAAATCACTTTTGATTTCACAGAAACAGCTTTAAAATCAAGCTGGCTGAATTAAAGAAATATCAAATTCAATCATCAAATACGTTTATTTAGCTATTTTAATTTATTAATGTGTTTACGATTAAACTTTTTCTAATCATTAAATACAAATTATTATTAAAAAAAAAAAAAATAGGCTTTCTCAAATATATAATTTTTTTTTTTTTTTTTTTTGAAAGTAGATACCTATAGAAATGTATAACGTTATAAGTATAACTGCGCACGCGTGTTCTGAAAGAGCAAATTATTTAAAAAAAAATGTTTTTATAAATATTTGTGTACCTATGCAATTGTCCCATTTTTTGTCAAAAAAGTATGGATTCAATCAATAAATTTAGTAAAATTGAAAAAATTATCACACTGCATGTTATTATAATATATAATATAACAAAACAAAATAATGATAAATTAAAAAAAAATATGTAATATATATATTGTCATCGTGCATATAATGTTGTTAAAACAATCGGCTACAAGGTGTAGTTCAAAATGGCATCCGCCTGTGGCGTCTGAGGTGGTTTTTAAAATAAAAGCGAATAAATATATTATTCTCGCGGGTTTCTATATTATGACAAATGCCTAATTAATTATGCCGGGGGCTTATCGCAAATACTGAGCAAGAAAATATTATGTAAAGGAATATTGTATATACATAAATAAATGAAAATAAATAATAATTATAACAATAAATTAAAATAATAACAAAAAGAAAAAAAATATATATATATATATTAAATTAAAGAAATGATTAAACCGTTCATTCTACGGTACCTGCTTAGTCTTAAAGCCAACATACCTTCTGGCAGATCTGGGTTGGTACATATTTAAAAAAAATAATAAGTTTTGTTAATTTTTTTGTAGACACCAAAAATCGTTGAGTATCATATTGTGATATAATGCAACGACAATGACATAAAAAATAATGCATAATATTATAATATTTTTATATAGATACAACACGTAACACACATATTATATAACAAATTTAACAGCGTATGAAGTATGGAGTTTGGAGTTATTTTCCATGAAATGTAACATATAATATTGCATGCGTGAATATACAAGGATTTATTATTTCATTTCAATGTGCAGGTATGTTGCAGTATTATTAATAAATAGTAATATATTTTTGTATAAATGGTAGACTGCGAGGAATCCGGAAAAAATTTAGCAATTATCCACATATAATATTAAATGCATTGCATGCCAGTGGTATAGGTATTTGGGATTTTTGAAATGACTGATGTGTAGTGAAATATTATTTGACTATAATGGGTAAATTATACGAAATATGTAATTGTTCTTATTATAATAATATAATCTTCCATTTTTAATAAAAAGTGAAAATAAAATGTATGAAACGAACGACGCATTATACGACACACAAATATCAACCGAGTATTTAAAATTAAAAAGTTACATTATATTTTATAAATTGGTATGACCATACATCATTATGTTTTGGAATGCAGAACCCAAGTGTTAACTATAAAAATGTCATTTTAAAACATGTTGAGTGTGACTTGTCTATTCGTTTTTTATTAATTACAACATATTAAGTACATATTTAAAATGGTATGATGTATAACGAAAGTGCATTATAATAAATATTTTATTTACGCGTAAAATAAAGTGTATAGTTATTATAAATTGAGTAAAAATTGTTTTAT